TGCCAGGTTGGTGGATGAATCGGTTGTTTTTTACAAAGACATCACCACATTTCCTGTTTGCATAGTGGCGCTGCATTTCCTGCCGGGATTTGCAACGAAAAGTGCTCGTTTTTAGGGGCACGAAATGCACTAATGTTTTACAGCAACATTGCTGCGTTTCCATCCAGGATAGTGGCATGAAAAGCAGTTCACTTTGCATTTCCTGACAGAATACTGCCAAGAAAGCAGGTGTTTTTCACCAAGACATTGCTGCATTTCCTGCCGGGATTTTGCAAAAAGTGCTTGTTTTTTACTGAGACATCACCGCGTTTCCTACAGGGATAGCGGCATGAAAAGCAGTTATTTTTAGTGAGATATTGCCCTGTTTCCTGGAAACATTTTGCCAGAAAAGTGCTTGTTTTTTACCAAGACATCACCGCATTTCCTACGGGGATAGTGGCACAAAAGTGGGTGTTTTTTTTTTACTGAGACATTGCTGCTTTTCCTGCCAGGTTAGTGGCACGAAAGGCGGGAGACATTGCTGCGTGTCCTGCAGGGATTGTGCCAAGATAAATGTTTATTTTTTACCGAGACATTGTTGAGTTTCCTGCCAGGATAGTGGCACCAAAAGCGCTTGTTTTTTTTTACCGAGATATCTCTGCTTTTCCTGCCAGGTTAGAGGTGCGAAAAGCAGTTAGTGCCACATAAGCAGGTGTTTTTCACCGACACATCGTTGCATTTCCTGCCGGGATTTTGACGCGGAAAAGTGGTCATTTTTTACTGTGACATTGGTGGATTTCCTGCCATGAAATGCTGTTTGTTTTTATGGAGATTTTGCTGCAGTGTCTGCCAGGGTGGGGAAATGAATAGTGTTTGTTTTGACCTCAGCCACAGCTCTGTGAACCCAAAGAGCAAAATGAGCTTCTTTGGCCTCATGCGACCAGTCAATCCTTTAATAGCATGTATGGGTCATGATTTTGAGTTAAATTCAAGCTCCACTCTCCAATAAAAATCAAAGCTGTTGCCTTTAAAACAAATAAAAATGAGTGCCTGGCTGTTTCTGGACAGAGGTGTTGGTTGGTGACGCTGAGGGATTAAAAACAAGCAGCTACAGTTCATCCTTTTTTTTTTTTTTTGCACTTTTCATGGAGGTCGTCTTGTGTCATGGTATTCTGTGTCAGGGTCAGCTGAGGCCTCCAGATAAAACCCAACAAGGCCTCCTTTTTAATCCCCCGCCTCCTGCAAGATCAAGGCGGGGATTATTCACAATGATTGTTGTGTTAGCGCTCGAGGATCGCTGCTGTTCGCATGTCACTGCTGCTGCTCCTCCAAGAGCAGACGTGACGACATGTGACTCATCCCTCTCACCACAATCTTGATGCTGGTCTCCACACGGAGGGTGTTTTATTTTATGGCTGGTGTTCCAGACCTCGGCTGACCTCAGCGGCTGGATGATGGCAGCAGACCCTCCTCTAATCCCGTACTCGAGTGAGAGCAGCAGAAATACTAAAGTAAAAGTATTGATGATCTGTTTGAAATGGAGGACCTGAATTTAGAGCCGGGCTCTTCAGGTCCACACTCAGGATCAATTCCTGGGATCGTTACTGTGCTGAAAAAGATTAGTCCTATTTATAGTTGCTTTGGCAAACTTGTTGCAGGTGAGCTGTCCCTGATTGAGCCGTCACGAAGCCCGTCCCTGCCCTGAGGACAGATTTTTCTTTGGGAGGCAGGATGTAAATTTAGATCCTCGTCCTCCTGGTCAATACGAGAGAAAGAGCTCAGCGTGTCCTTAAAAGGGTTCCTGTGTTCTTCTAAGAAAAGTTGCTGCAGTGGAAAAGATGTCTGTTCACGCTGGGAAATTGTTTCATGGCAGGTCGTCCTCAAACAATTTCTTGATTGTGACGCTCTGATTGAAGGATTGCGAAACATAATTTATGTTTCCTCCAGTCATTTTACAAAGCATGAGGTACAACGTTTAGTTTATAATGGATTTGTGACAACAGACTTGTGTTTTGCCTTTCAAAAGACCTCTTTAACAGGATGACATGGGTTGTATGAGTCACTTATCCGTAGTCAGTGTATTACCTACAGTCGACACAGCTCCACTTTGGAGAAGCAGGCTGGAGTCTGACATGAAAGCTAAGCAATGTCCTGCTGTGTACAGGGTGAGCAACAAAACGCCTTTTAGCCACCAAAAATATCTCTATCCATTTAATTGTAGGCTACATTTACAGCATTTTCATATCTTTACCTTGCTGATAGGTCACAGTTTCTAACGTGGAACTGAACTTGTTACATCGCTCACTTCAAAACCAGACTTCACTGAGAAAAACAGTCATTTTAGCTGGTGGATGACGTTGAATCTGAACTTAACCTTTGACGCACCAAAGTCACACAGTAACACAGACTAACTTACTGGTCGAAACAGATGCTGGAGACGTTAAAACAACACAGCGGAGAGCTCCGCCTCCCTCTTATTGTTCTGTTCTCTTACAGGCAGGAGAGTGTAAGGTGCTGTACAAGTAATTCATTAATTAATGCAGTTAACTATTTCTGGTGAAATATGACAGTGTGCAATCACTGACATGAATATCTCACAAAAGATGAGTGTGTGCAACCACAGATGGATACAATTCTACTGGTTTAAAAGCTTGGCTATGGAAACATTTAGGCTGAAAGGAAAAACGTACCTGCACTGCATGTAAATTCATCTGTTTATAGTATATCCTGCTAGTGTTGCAGTGTTGTTTTTTATATGGAAATACTGTATGTCTCTCCTGCCTTTAGAGCTATTAAAAATTGTATGTCCTTTTATATTGCATCAATTTTGCCTCAAGAGCTAGCACTGAATCACAGGGCTTACGTTTAAATGGATTTTAATTCTTTAGGGGGCGAAAATGTGTTTTGCTGTTTCCTCTGTCCACAGCAGTACATTTTATAGCTTCCATGTCAGACTCCTGTCACTTCTCCAAACTGTGAGCATGTTGTTTGACATCTACTGCATGGTATACATAAGCCCCTTTTACACTGCCAGATTGTTGGCGAATGTTTGGGGCGTTTTGCCGGCAAGCTGCGAGCGTTTAGACACACAGAGCCGGATTGGCGAGTTGATCCGAGTTGCCCAATCTTCCACCTCGTAGGGTAGACATATTGGTGGAACCCTTTTCGTTTAAACAGACTGAGGCTGTTGAAGACTTGTGGGAGGAGCTGTTGATGACTTGTGGGAGGAGCTGTTGATGACGCCGCACGTGCGAGCCACTGGCGGTGGATAAACAGGAAACAGCTGATAGCAGGAATTAGCGAGCAGCTAGTAGCAAGAGGGAAACACAAACCTGACAGACACTGTAAAGATGAGCAACTGGGGAGACAAGGCTTCCCTCCCACGTCACTGTTTACGTCACACGCTGAGCTACACGTTTTGTTACTTGCTCACGCCCCCCATTGCCCCGAAAAAGGCACATTCTGTATAAACAAAAGTAGGTAGGCTGCATTTTGCTGCACTCCCCGATTTTGTTTTTATACTGCCAATGCTGAAAGAAGACTGATTGGGCTTTCCTGCAGATTTGCACAACTCCTGTTTAAAAAGGGCTTCTGATGATGGATAAGCGCCTCATACAACCCCACTTCAAGATCCAAACTATACCTTTAAGGAGGGAACTGATTCCAGATAAAACCAGACGGAGAAACTTTAAGCCAACTAAAAAAAAGAAAGAAACGAAAAACCCCATAAAACCACTTCTATGGTCCTTTATGGGTCATGATGTTTCCACAACCCAGTCTCATTCTGACGTCATTGAATACCGTCACTTTGGCAGTGACTTCCAGCGTTAGACACCGACAGAAAAAGCCGTCCTTTCAGGTCAGCATGATACGCAGCCAGGCCCGGCACTGTCAGGGGGAAACGCGGCTTGACAGCAGCATAACTTAAAGGGACAAAAAGTCTGAATAGGGTGGGCAGTCGGGGTGGTAGATGGGTCCAACAACCACCAACTTTGACCCAGGAGGCTGGTGTTCAATGATGTGATTGTAAAGCCAAACCCTGTTCTTTTTTTTAACTCAACCACTTGCTTTAGTTGTTGAAGGAAAAAAAACAACAATTTGTGTTGTACTGATGTAGTGCTTTTATTTTGAAAGAGACTGTATGCAAACTGTACATTTCCTGTGAAAACAGAAGTGTATTTTGAAAACATACAATGCATGTAACAGGCTGAAGTTGACACGGTGTCCCAGGACATGGAACAACAACACACCCAGGGTACCTTGCACGTCATATGTCAACTTCAAGTCCATGAGTGTTGTTGTTCCATGCCAGTCTGGCCTCAAATGCCACATTTGCTCAGTAGTTTCTGAAGGAGCGGTTCACTTGACTAAGCTGATTAGAGTAATGAGCTTTCATCAGAATCTTAAAAGCCTAATGATCTCTCTGTCATGGTCATGGTCACAATGTCAGACTGAATAAAATGTTAATCACAAGTGGTAAACGTCCAAGGCTGAAAAAAATGAAGCATATGTTGAAGTGCCAAAATGTTGGAGTTCCTCTAATGATTGCTTGAGGCTGTCCCCATAGACCTCCATGTTGAAATGTGTATCATTAAATTACTCACTTACATTTTCCAAATGGATAACACACCGACACAGACACGGACTTCCTGTGTCTGTCATATGTGTTAATTTCGACAAGGCACAGCTCCTAACAGAGTTTTTTTTTTTTTGACGAATGACCTATCTGTCTGGAAAATGTAAGTGAACACAAAACTGCTAAACCAAAAATGAAGCACTAAATCTGCTTGATGATGCGTCTCATGATTGGAGGAAGTGATGCTTCTCCAGAGTCGCCGCTGCTCATGTTTGGACTCAAAGAGCCGCAGGGCCATCACACTGCTGCCCTCTCAAGTATAAATGTCCACTCGTGTTAGGGTCACAAGTTTCTGCTGGAAACTGAGTGAGTGAAGCAGGATCTGGATTTGCTGTGGGAGTTTTTTCTCTGGCCTGAGCTTGTGTGTTTGTTTTCTTTGTGACAGGTGGACAGAAGGTTTCAGGATGCTGTGGCTGCTGCTCTGTCTGCTTCCTCCTGTGGGCAGCAGCAGGATCGTTGCCCAGGACGTCGATTATAAAGAAAAACACAGCCACGGTGAGTCCAGCACGTCAAAGCTGCTTTTATTATTCATATATTATCTTCATCCTTCAGTCTTTGACGTTTGCCTTTAATTATCTACTTGAATAAATCAGCTGTTAATCATTGCATATGTTTGTTATGTCCTCACGAAGCTTTAAATCCATATGTTGCTGCTGAACTCAGAATCTATGGAATATCATTTTAGTCGATACTGAATAAATAAATAAAGTCATAAATATATAAATAAATGTGCCTTTGAAATAATATGGCTATGATATCATTCCTGAAATAATTAAACAAGGCAATAAATATATAAATAAATGTAAATATGAATATATAAAGGAGTCAGTGTAGTTCAATAAATAAATACATTTTTATTTCAAAAAGGACATTTTTTAATTGACAACTTTGGGTGATTCTTGTGCTGTTGCTTTGATGTAAATTGTGAATGTGTGTAGGAATTATGAAATCAAAGTTCTCCAAAAAAAAAAATGTATATATGGAATCAGGGAAATACAAGATCTGAAGATAAATAAATATGATATTGGGACTTAAAAGTTCCCTGAAATAAATAAATGTGGCAAAAGTTTCCTTTAACAGAGAAATAAAATAAAAGCTCCCTAGATAAATATTAAGTTATAAAATAAAACGTCCCTGAAATAAATAATTGTGGAATTGTGAAATATAAGATCCTTGGAATGAATAAATGTGGTATCAGAAAATAAATAAATTAAACAAAAAATGGCATTTGAAAATTAAAGTTCCCTTAAATAATTAAATATGGCATTGGAAATAAAAGTTCCCTGAAATAAATAAATGTGGAGTTATGAAATGCAATAAAATCTTTTTATGAATATATTTTTTATCTGTATTTGCATTTCAATGTTGTCGTTTTTTGTTATTTTGATTATTGTTTGTCATTACCTTTTTTAATGTAGCGACTATCCTATCTCTTTTTTTGTGTTATTGGGTGACTTGAAAGGTGCTCATAAATAAAAAAAATTATTATGCTTAGTTGTACTATTTTTTATTAAAAGTCCCCTGAAATAAATAAATAAATGTGGAATTATGAATTATTAAAAAATCCCCATAAGTAATTGTCTCTTTTTTAAAAAAAATAAATAAATAAAAACCTACTATTTTTTTTTACAATATTGACTCATTTGTAAATTTATATATACATTTATTTATGTCTTTTTTTGCCTCATTTGTTTATCTCAAGATTTATTTCACAGCCCTATTCATGTATTTATTTGTGTATTTATTTAATACTGACTAAATCACATTTTGAGAAGCTCATACGGTGACCTTTTTGGAAGAGTCTGTGATCGGGCAGCAGGCAGCGGTGTCGGCCATTTTATTTCCGCTCAGCTGGACGTGTTGGCAGCTCGTCGATGCCTCAGTGGGGAGGTATCGACGAGTTCAGAGCATCACTCATGACTTTTGTGAATTTCTCTTTATTTTCAGACAGTTTTGAGCTGCACACATGCCCTCGATTTCATGCCCTCGATTTGGACATGAATGTGCCGACAAAATCAAAAAGATCATTTCAGAATCTTAGGTTTATGTTGATTTGTGAGACCTGACTTGTTTCTGTGCACAACGTCTGCGTCCATTCTCTCTCTGCTTCCAAACAGAAGCTTTGTCCTCGTCATGGTGATCACTGACAACAACACTGTAGTGGAGCAATAGTTTGCAAGATGGCACAAGAGTCTTCACATTTGTCATAGATGTCCTCTTAGTTTAGTCCGTTCATGTCTCTCTGTGGTTGTTTTGTGTCAGTTTGTGGTTGTATTGTGTCTCTTTGTGGTTGTTTTGTGTCAGTTTGTGGTTTTGTGTCTCTTTGTGGTTGTTTTGTATCAGTTTGTGGTTGTTTTGTGTCTCTTTGTGGTTGTTTTGTGTCAGTTTGTGGTTGTTTGTGTCTCTTTGTGGTTGTTTTGTATCAGTTTGTGGTTGTTGTGTGTCAGTTTGTGGTTGTTGTGTGTCTCTTTGTGGTTGTTATGCATCAGTTTGTGGTTGTTTGTGTCAGTTCGTGGTTGTTTTGTATCAGTTTGTGGTTCTTTGTGTCAGTTTGTGGTTGTTTTGTATCAGTTTGTGGTTGTTTTGTGTCAGTTTGTGGTTGTTGTGTGTCTCTTTGTGGTTGTTTTGCATCAGTTCAAGGTTGTTTTGTCTCTTTGTGGTTGTTTTGTATCAGTTCAAGGTTGTTTTGTGTCTCTTTGTGGTTGTTTTGTATCAGTTTGTGGTTGTTTTGTATCAGTTTGTGGTTGTTTTGTGTCAGTTTGTGGTTGTGTGTCTGTTTGTGGTTGTTTTGCGTCAGTTCAAGGTTGTTTTGTCTCTTTGTGGTTGTTTTGTATCAGTTCGAGGTTGTTTTGTGTCTCTTTGTGGTTGTTTTGTATCAGTTCGAGGTTGTGTGTCTGTTTGTGGTTGTTTTGTGTCAGTTCGTGGTTGTTTTGTGTCAGTTTGTGGTTGTTGTGTGTCAGTTTGTGGTTGTTTTGCGTCAGTTCGAGGTTGTTTTGTGTCTCTTTGTGGTTGTTTTATATCAGTTTGTGGCTGTTTTGTGTCAGTTTGTGGTTGTTGTGTGTCTCTTTGTGGTTGTTTTGCATCAGTTCGAGGTTGTTTTGTGTCTCTTTGTGGTTGTTTTGTATCAGTTCAAGGTTGTTTTGTCTCTTTGTGGTTGTTTTGCGTCAGTTTGTGGTTGTTATGCCTCTCTTTGAGGTTATCTTGAGTCTCTTTGAGGTCATTTTGCGTCTTTTCGTGGTTGTTTCGCATCAGTTTGTGGTTGTTTTCTGTCAGTTTTTGGTTGTTGTGTCTCTGTGTGGTCCTTTTGTGTCAGTTTGTGGTCATATTGCATCTCTCTGTCGTTGTTTTATGTCTCTTTCTGGTCATTTTGCGTCAGTTTGGAGTCATTTTGTGTCTCGTTGTCTTTTGTGTCTTAGTAGTCCTTTTGCATTTCATTGTAGTCATTTTGTGTCTCTTGGTGTTCATTTTCCATCAGTATCTTGTCTAATTTGATAACGTTGAAGGAGTAGTGTGTAGGCTTCAGTGACATCTAGAGGTGAAACTCCTCCTGGTTAGATTTCCTGCAGTGTTCATTGACCAGGAGGTTTTTATTAGGAGCTGAATTATCCACAGAGGTCTCTTCCTCTCTGAAACAAACAGACCAGCTGATTTAAACCAGTAAAAACATTAAATGAAGCTTTTTTTAATTTAAAAATTGGTGTTTTTCTGAAGCTTTTGGGCTCGTTGCAGAGGGGCTGCAAACTCTAATGGCCCACGCAAAAACGTAAATGTCCCTACCTAGAGCCAGTGTTTGGTTTGTCTGTTCTGGGCTACTGTAGTTGGTACAACATGACGATCTCCATAGACGAGGACCTGCTCCTTATGTAGATATAAACGTCTCATTCTAAGGTAATGAAAACAGAATTATTCTTATTTTCAGGTGATTATACACTAAAGAAAACACACTTATTATATTTTATTCCATCTCTGCCAATATTTCTCCCTAAATCCGACACACTGGACCTTTAAGTGTGCATTGGTGCACAAATGTTTAAGATAGAGAGAAACATGGAGACCTAAAATTAAATAAAAAAGATGTGAAAAGATGATGGCAATAAATGCAAAAAAAAAAAAAAAGTGAAATAACCCAAATGCTCATTTGGACCGTTTGAAGTGTTGTTGAGTCTGTTGCTGCTGCTGTAAATATCTGGAGGGAAATAAAGATTTCAGCACACACTGCATCGATCTGTCACGCTTAATATTTAGTCTCAACCTTCCTGAGATTTGTTCCACATGAAAAGTTCTTCATGCTTTTCACAAAGAAAACTGTTCAGCCAGATGTCACGAGGAATGAGCTCTGCCTGCTTCTGTTGGTGTGATCAGCCTCCTGTCAGACGCTGTGACTGGACCCTCAGTGATTGCTGCCTGGCACATTATTTTTATAGATTCACATGTCCTCAACACTCGTCTTCAGTCTTCTGATACACATAGCATGACTTCATATTTATCTTCTCCAGCTGTAAGTCCAGAGGGGATCATTTGTGTGTGTGTGTCTGTCCTCAGCTAATCTCACAAACTACTGGAACGATCAGCCTAATGTTTGGTGCTCACATGTGTGACTGTTTGCTCAAGGACCTCTCATGGTTGCGCTGATTCACATGGAAAACTGTTTTATTGACCGTTTTATTCCGTCACTGACTGCTAACTTCTCACGCCTCTTAACCGGCCGGTAGTTTGTGGTCATTTTGTGTCTCTTTGTGGTCATTTTGCGTCTCTTAGGGTTATTTTGCCTCTCTTTGTGGTCGTTTTGCGTCTCTTTAGGGTCATTTTGCGTCTCTTAGGGGTCATTTTGCATCTCTTAGGGGTCATTTTGCGTCTCTTTGGGGTCATTTTCTGTCTCTTTGTGGTTGTTTTGAGTCTCTGTGGTCATTTTGCCTCTCTTTAGGGTTATTTTGTGTCTCTTTGGGGTCATTTTGTGTCTTTTTAGGGTAATTTTGTGTCTCTGTGGTTGTTTTGTGTCTCTTTAGGGTCATTTTGCATCTCTTTAGGGTCATTTTGTGTCTCTTTGTGGTCGTTCTGAGTCTCTGTGGGGTCATTTTGTGTCTCTTTAGGGTAATTTTGTGTCTCTTTGTGGTCATTTTGCATCTCTTAGGGGTCATTTTGTGTCTCTTTGTGGTCGTTCTGAGTCTCTGTGGTCATTTTGCGTCTCTTTGGGGTCATTTTGTGTCTCTTTGTGGTTGTTTTTAGTCTCTATGGTCATTTTGAGTCTCTTTAGGGTCATTTTGTGTCTCTTTGTGGTCATTTTGCGTCTCTTAGGGTTATTTTGCGTCTCTTTGGGGTCATTTTCTGTCTCTTTGTGGTTGTTTTGAGTCTCTGTGGTCATTTTGCGTCTCTTTGGGGTCATTTTCTGTCTCTTTGTGGTTGTTTTG